GCACAACCATCCATGGAGAAGAGGGGGTGGGCACGGACGGAGGCGGAGCAGAGAGAGCCGAGTGGGAAGCAAGGTACCAAGAAATGGTGATTAGAAACAATTCGGCCGCAATGCAAATCTAGAGAGAATCAGGAATGAAGCAAAGGTCGAGAGCATCCACTAAGAGAACAATGGATCTGAGAGGAAGAAATTCTAAGGATTTCCAATTGGTGGAGACGAAGTTACCACACTTGGAACCGATGGCCTGAAAAGAGATGGGGTGCAGAGCATGGAGGGGTATGTTGTCAACGCGAAGCCATACTTTCTGAGAACGAGTTGCCAAAGCGGAGGAAGACCAAGGGCGAAGAGAGATCTTGACCCCTTTGAAAGGGGAAGGGTGCTCTTTGAGGGCGGTTGAAGAAGCAGGGTGAGAGTTGAAGATAAAGAGGACATTCCCTTTCAACAGGCATCCGCAGGTAACTTCATTATCTTCTAGGACAATTTGGCCCACCTCTCAATGCCATATATGTCGTCTCTGCAGGGGTAGAACTTTTCGACTAAGGCTGCATCAAGTCGAAGAGAGGAATCGGTTGGGGGAATGGGGCAGAGAGGGAGAAAGCGGGAGGTGTGGATGCCGAAGGGAGGAACGGGAGGGGGGGGAATAAGGAATGGAGGCTAAGCAAAGGTGGGAGACTTGGCAGGCCAAGATTTAAGGACATTCGCATAGGTTCGATAGAGAGGAGGAGAGGAAACAACAGGGGGATGGCCAGAGGGCCGGTTAACAACATGGGAGGCGGGAGGAGCAGCAGAACGGGTCACCATTTTTTCTGCATATGGCGTTCCAACTTTTTCATTGCTTTAATATGACACATTTTCATATATGATATAAGTGAGCGTTTTAATCAAGGTCACAAGGTTTGCAACAAGAGAGAACTAAAAGGTGACAAGAAAACCAAACTAGATAGAGATGTAAGTAATTTCTCTTCTTATCTAACTTTTAAAAAAAATTCAAATCTAGGAAATAAATTCTCTTCTTATCTAACTTTTAAAACAATTCAAATCTAGGAAATAAATCTAAGGCCAAGAGCTATGTTGCATGGACACAAATACTTGGATTCCTCATTCCATGAAGCATACGATTTGGTGACACCACAATATTTTCAAGTGACAACAATCCAACATTCTTTACTAACATTACTTTTCATGATGAGTAGCCAAGAAAGAACAAAGTAAAAACCAATTATGCTTTAGGTGTCTTACTTCACGTATGTTTTCAATGTTCATATTTTTCTCCTCATACCTAAAAGGAAGATCAAGTCCCTAAAATGATGTAAATCAAATGCTAGTGAGCAAGTAGAATCCAGAGGAATCGGCATTGGTATGCATGTTGATACATATCTGACACAGATACGGCACCAAAATACAAGAATATATGTAATATAGGAGAGACTTCCCCCTCTACTGCCTTTTTTAATACCTCTATTTTCTTAAATTTTGAAACAATTTATGAAAAACCTTTACTTAAGGTGCCCACCTTATACTATAGAAGAAAGGTGCACCTCAAAAATCCACCAAAAAAAGTTGTTCTGACACTAGAAAACCCTCCAATTGAGCATCTCCACTTCGAGATGTATAGATATGAAAACAAAATATTAATCCATGAAAATAGTATATCTTATGATGTATTATTTGGACCATCCATTTTCAAGATATTCAAGTATTTATAGATCTGCTCGATCTACATCAATTTTTATGCATTAGATTTCATAGCTAGGAGTGAAGATCGATGTTTAATTTTTTTATGAAATCATAGGACTTCCAAAATCATTACTGCATCTTTGGCCCAAATTGGAGGTACGCCTTACTTTTTTGGTTTAAGGTCAACACCTTATATAAATCATACCCATAGTTTATTTAACATAAAGAGAGAGATTTACAAAAACAGTCTAACTTTACTCACTACTCCCAATAAATAAGATGAAATATTAAACTTATCTATAATTAAATTCATTATTTTATTCATAAATAAATAAAATGTGATTGTTTTGAGTTCTATTTTAATTCACAATTATTTCATGATTGAGAAAAATTTATGCAAATTTAAAGAAAAGAATTTGAAATATGCATTATCCACAATATAGCATAATTACCTTTATCATATTCTACATATAATAAATTTCTTAAGATGTATGCCATTATGTGACTATAGAATCACTCAATCACTTTCCTTCATCATATAAATTAGGTTTTCTCTTCCCATGCTCCATACAAAATAAGACATTCTCCTTATAAATTCTAAATCGATAAGGTCATCTTGCAAATTAATATTGCACTAATTTCTACTTTTTCATATATTCTTAAAATCCCTATTTTAAAAGAGTAAGAGATGTGATAATTTCTCTTTTTTCATTTTTTTTATTAATCTCATTCTTAATTTTTAATATTGGCTATGTAAAAGTCTGATAGCAAAACTATAGATTATCAATAAAAAATTATTTATTTGGGGTATTTAAATTAGAAGGAAGTTAGATTATCAAACTCTTTGGACTTATCCTAGTTTCCAACAAGTTTCATTATAAAAAATAAAAAATAAATAAAAATAGAAGTTTATAGGATGGGCCTGGCCATTAACTCCTGGTCTAGGCCCAACCAAGTCCAATTCGGGCCTAAATTCCAAGCCATGGTTATATAGGGCCAGCCGTCATGGTTATATCGGGCCAGCTGCCCCTTTGCCATTCTTAATTAGGAATTCAATCCTCAATGGCCAACTACATGAGTGCTTACTTTCTAGGAGGAGCCTTTAGATTCGATGCCCATCTCACTGTTTTAGGATATCAATTTTGTTAGGACTTAATCTTGAATGCCAACCACATGAATGCTTGTGTTCTAGGTGGCGCTTTTAGATTCCGTGCCCATGTCATTATTTTTGGATGTAGATTTAGTTTGGACTTAATCCTTAATGTCCAACAACAGGAATGCTTTTCTTCTAGGTGGGACGTTTAGATTCCCTGCCCATCTCATTGTTTTGGGATGTGGATTAGTTACAATCATCTTGCCATTAAATGACTTGACTGCATATTTATTACCATTTCTACTCGGACTCCAAATTATCTCATCCTCCCTATTTCAGGATTCGCTGCTTTCATAAGAATCAAATCTTTAGCTCGCAAGCCCTTAAATTTTGCCTAAATCTGGGAGTCTAAGTTCCTTGGAAACTATAGGCTATTGAAATTTCAAGGTTTGCGCTATGATAGAGTTCTAGAAAGGATTCTACTAAAGTATTAGGGCCAATCCAAAGATCATTCCAAAACCTAACCCTGTACCCATTCTCTAGTTTGAAATGAACAAAATTGTAAATTGATTTTTAACCGAGGGTACGCCTGTCCATATACCGGAGAGTTTATTCCCATGGTTTCATCAATGATGTTCCAATGGCCATGCATTGTCCCCCGCTTCATATTTGTGGTCTATGATGGTTCTAAACACCTTTACTCATATCTCCATAGCCACTTTCCAACATTGCTATACTGAACTCCTTAATAGAGGGTATGCCTATCCATATAACAAAGAGTTTATTCCCATGGTTTGATCACTAATGTTCTAATCGCCATGCATTGTCCCCTGCTCCATATTTGTGGTCTATGATGGCTCTAAACAGGTGACGACCCCCTTGCCATATCTCCATGGCCAATTTCCGACAATGCTATACTGAATTCCTTGATTTCCTATCCCCCAGCCCCCTCATGGTCTTTCTTTGGCGCGAGGAGTCCCATTTGACTAAGTGAAGCAGCACCATCGGTATCTTAAATGAAGACATGTAATACACTTGCAAATTGGCGAGGATAGCTTTGATCAAAGTTATTTGGCCTCCCATTGATGGGAAATTGGACTTACCATGTTGCCAACCTTCTTTAGAACCTTCCTATGATAGGATCCGATAGTGCCTCTTGTGGTTTTCACATGCATAAAGGCAGCCCAAGAAACTTGTTTAGTTGTGATTCAGCTTTGCACCCATTCTTTTTGTTGAGGTCTGTATTGTCTCTTGCTCCACCCAACACTCATCAAGGTGTGATATCCACTCCTAGAAACTCAATGAAAAGTTCAATGTGTGCTGCTTTGCGCAAGATGTTTCAGGGCCTCAAGAAATAAAGGCAAACAAAAAGGGGGAATAGGAGAGTCCATGGCTCAAGGACCCGAGTGCGGTTGAAGAAGACCTTCAGGAAATCTATCAAAATTGAGACGGAAACCAGTTAAATACTTCCATCATCCAACTCCACCATCAGTCCCGAAGTTCATATTCCCCACTTGTAACCCAAGAAACTCCAATACAAATTTCAGCATCAAAGGTAATTGAATATTAAAATAGGCAGGTGGTGAAAGAAGTTTAGCATGATACATATGGTCTGGAAATAATGAGAAACATGACACAAATGGACTGGAAATGGAAGTTTAGCATTCTTGTGAGATGTGTGGTCTGATCATTGGTTTGTGGAAGTCGGCCTTATTCTTTATTTTGTGTCCATCCTAGTCAGACTTGTCCTTGGGATCTTGTTTGGCAATGATTAGTTAAATGTGCCTCATCCCAATCCTTTTCTCAGTAATAAAATATATAGTGCAATGGAGCTCTTTTCCATAGTTTTGAATTCAGATTTCTTCATCTCCTCTAAAAACATAAAAAAAAAGTAGAATAAATTTGTCATTTGAAATTATGCACCAAACACGCTCTGCTTGGTTGTGTTTCTGAAGCCAATTTTCAGTAGTTACTTGCAATCAGTGGATTGCGTTCATTCACAAGTTCCAAGAGTCTAATCATTCATAGCACCCCATCATCAACATGTACAAAGTGATAACATTAGATAGTTAGATCAAACTCTAAACAAATACAGAAAATTACAGAGAAAGCAATCACAAGATGCCAAGAAAAAATGAAATCCCAATGCCCAACAAATTCAAACTAATAAATAAAGTTACAATCCAAAAATGTGAAAAATCGTGACCAAGGAGGAAGTTGGAGCCCATACTTGTGCAGCGGATACCCTGGACAAATGCCTGCCACAATTTCTGCAAAATCCTTAAATTGGTAAATTCCATTAGTGCAGAGGTACCTCCCAGAGGCACACGGAGTTTCATAGAGCAAAAGCTGAGCCTTGGCGACATCCCTCACATCCACACTCCCTAACCAGTGGTGTTCCTGACTCTCCTCAGACCCTGCATTCACAAATGCACACAATACACCCAAAACATTTGTAAAACCAGAAATACCCGATGTGTTAGCGGTTTAATGAACACTACAAATGATAAAAGCTGAGAGCTGACACAGGAATGAGACCTTGGAGGAGTTGCAGGAGCACGGCAGAGCTGGCATTCAGAGAGGGTTGGAGAAGAGGGCCCAGGCATGTCGACGGATGTATGGCAACCACATCCAACCCATGCTGCTTACTAAATTCCCATGCTGCTCTCTCCGCCAGAGTCTTGGAGACGGGATACCATTTCTATACCATCATCATCCACGCAATTCAATCAATCATAACAATATGGGAAATTATAGAGTAAATGTTTCTCATAATAATCTATTTCAATCATAATAATATGGGAAATCACCTTTCGAGAGGAGAAGGAGGAGAAAGAAGAAGAAGAGAGAGAGAGGGGGGGGCTGACCTTATGGGCCTTGCAGAAGTCGATATCAGTCCAGCACGACTCGTCGACGACCTTGTCATGGGGCCAGGAGGGGTTGGGGACCATGGCTGAGATGGAAGAGGTAAGGACGACTCGACGGACCTTGGCCTTGCGGCAGGCCTCGAGGACGTTGAGGGTGCCCTGGATGGCGGGGTCTAGGAGCTGGGTTTGGGGTTCTCTAGGGTCTTCAAGGAAGCAGGGGGACGCCAAGTGGAAGACTCCCTCGCAGCCATCAATGGCCGCCCAGAGAGAGCCGGAGTCAAGGAGGTCGGCCTGGAAGAGAGAGAGTCGTGATTCATCAGAGTTGGAAGGGAGGAGTGATCTGAGGTGATAGGTTTGAGAGGGGTCGGAGAGGTCTTGGACAGTGGCTCGCACTGTGTATGAATGGTGGTGGTCGAGGAGGGTACGGACGAGCCATGAACCAATGAAGCCGCAACCCCCAGTAACACATACTAATTTCTTCCTCTCCTCCTCCTTCGGAACTGCCATTTGCTGCTGCCTTCTTTACTCTTTCTCTCTCTCACACACAAATACGAATGGATAATGGACGTATGATGATGTTTCTGTCTCTGTATATATATATATATATATATATAGAGAGAGAGAGAGAGAGAGAGAGAGAGATTGAGATATTATCATGCTGTTGTGTGTGCGCTCAGCTTCCGCCTGCGGAAGCGGATGCGGATTAGATCGCTGCATATTTATTTTTCAAAACATCAAATTTTGATTTTGAACGCGCCTCCCTCGCGCATCAAGCGCCCCGTCAACGAATATCTGCTGCCCCTATCCAGAAATCGTATAAAAAAAAGTTCAAATCGAAACCACGTTTTTCTGCACTATTTAAAAGTTGGCTCTAATTTGATTGTTTAGACCCACAGGCTCTATACAAACCGCAACCAATTTTAAATCTTAGTATTCTTTTTCCAAACCTGATACTGATACTGTAGAACAAGTCGCGTCTCCAAAATCTATTTAAAAAAAAAGAAAAAAAAAGGTTATATTGACATTTGGAGATAAGGCTCATATTGAAACCCTCCAATTCATCGTATGATGCATACATATAAAAAAGTGAGAATTTTCAGTTTCAAAAATAATGCATCTTATAATACATTATCTAGACCGTCTACTTGAAAATATATTTGTTTCCTATGCACCAATTCTTGAGTTTTAAACTTCAAAATTAAGAGTTGAATTATATTTTCAAATCATTGTAGGCTTTTTTGGTACCAAAATTACATCTTCCGACTTGATTTAGACATGCGCCTTGCTTTGATTGTTTAAGGCTGACACCTTATACAAATCATGCCCTTAACTTGTATTTTTCTATAAGGCAAAGGGTTATCCAATCGTAGTAAGAATGGAATTTAAGACATCATATTGCAATACCTTCAAGACATCATGTTATAATGTTGTCACACCCTACCTATAATGTGAATGGAAAGTAAGACATCGTGTTGCAACACTTTACACCATGGCCAACTATGCCTTTCCTTGTTCTTAATACAGTGGCACCTTCCCACTTTGACCACCTATGCTTTTAGGTCATTTTTTTATGTAGTAATTGCAGCAACAATGAAAATGAGTAAGGATAGCAAGTTTAGAAATAAAGATCGATAATGGTGTTTGTCAATATTTGGAGAGAGGTATACCTCTTGTAATTCAAAATTATAAATGGATTTCTACTTGTCGATGTTGTGGATGTAGCCATATAAAGTGAGCCACATAAATGGTATGTCGCTGTGGTGTAGTTGTGGTTTTATTTTATTTCTTACACTCGAATTATAATTGATCTATTTCATATTTAGCCAACTATGTAAGCGATATTAGATGGGATCCTGTTATTTGGGATTCATAATCTCACAATGCAATGGGCTCCCGATGAGTCTAGAATCGGTATCAGAGCACAAGGTGTGTATGCGGTTATAGTTTCAAATTTTTAGTGAAGAAAAGATAAATGGCGATGTTGCATTGATACATGAGTTGAGATGGAGAAATATGGAGGTAAATTATTTGTGAAAACTTCACAATGGAGGCAAGAGAGAATAAATCAAGAACTCTATTCAATGAAGGTTGGCATGTTAGTAGTATAAGACCCCTGGGCTAAAAAACTTTTTTTAAAAAAATTTCTCCATTGTATTGAAACTAAAATATTTAAATACATTAACATTTCAATACAAAATCATAATACATATATTTTAGCCTACAAACATGGTTTATGCACATTTGAATAATAAAAGTTCAACCTTAGTAGGTCCCGTACAAATCCGTTACTCAAAAAAATAAAAAATAAACTCAAAACAATGTCCAAATACTCAAAATATACATCTCTACGACATATTACATGATTTTGTACTCATTATATCAAAATTACATGATAATTTCATCTTCATTATTCATCATCATCATATATCACAAATGTCTCATGCACATCATACACTTGATCATAATAATCCAATGATATTTCAATCACATAAATAATAAAGCATATCATTAAAGCTCATACCGCAAGATTAAATAACAATCTCAATATTCATATAACATACTCAATTTATCCAATCATGAATCACTCAATAATTGTAAATATAACAATTTAACATTTAAAACATATATGGGAGAATCCATCGTTCGAACCCCTTATGCCCGGTTTATAAAATGGCCTGTTGAGGACTTAGTAGTTTTGTCTCATTGTCTAAGGTACGAGTGACAATAATAACTCAAGGAGATCAATCCAATGGAAAGCAAATGATCACTGTTATTTCATTTAATAGGGATCAAATCATGAGGGAATGTTGTACCAAAACAAACCTTCAAAGTTTAAGAGAGATACTACATAAAATACGGAAGTTATGGTGAAATTACATCATGTGGTCCATAAGGGATCATACAAATTTTTCAATATTAAAAAATGAACTCAATAGACTATTTCATATGCTCAAACATCTCATCAGTTGTATATTCTCAAAAATCTAAAAATAAGATCAATAAAATCAAAATGAAGCTACTCAAGATCATTGAGTAAGCAATCTAGTCTACTCATACCCTGTATATGAACTACACTATTGCCTTGAAACTCTTCAAATGTCAAGTTTTTATGACCAAAAGATGAAAAAACTTATTGTAAATTAAGAATTACAACAAGCTTTGATTATGAAAATGAGATAGAAAATGAAATATATGAAGAAAAATCAATACCTTGGTGAAACAATATTATGGGTTTGATCTCATATATGAGGAACTACTTTATCAAAAGGTTTCAACTCAAGATTCAAAAATGAAAAACACAAGAATGGGGGTGTTAATATAAAGAGAGGGTTGTGGCAGCCACCTTTTTGTCAAGGGGGCGCTCTCTCTCTCTTTGAAGTGAAACTCAAAATTAGGGTATAATTGATTTCATAAGTTCTTTTTATATTTAGATCATAAATGTGGATTTGATCTTGATCCTAGATGATGCCTTAGATCAATGACACATGAGAGGCTTTTTTTCAAGCCACTCATCCATATCTTATCAACAAGATCGACGAGCTTTTGATACCTTTAACTTCTTAAAACCTAGGTTGTAGTCATTTTATCTTAAAGCCCCTAGCCTCATCTTTTATTTCTCATTAAGTCTAAATTCATGTTTATACTTATGCTCATGGTTTTTCAATAATATGTGAGTGTTAATAAAAGACAAGGCTTGAACATAAAGGTAATATGAGACATCTATATATGTGAATGAAATATCTTATCACACCACCAATAGGATTTCAACAACACTAAAGTTTCACATGGATCAAACTCATAAGATGGTGCTACATAAGATACACACACATGCCTTAAATCATATATGGATATTAATATTTAAATCAAATTATTCTCAAAATTTCATAACTTCACATATGCCAAATAAACCACATGTGTAAACAAAACGCCATGTGACAAAATAATTCACTTAAATCACAATATTATAAAACATAATGTTTAAAATAAACATAATATAACTAAATAAAAAAAGACAACAATGCCCCCCACACATGGGAATGACATCAACATGACATCAACGCCCAAGGGGGTGTGGGGTGCCTCGCAGAATCCTTATGACCACTTGGGATCCACGTGGCATCCCCATGGCTTATCCTCAAACGTTATTTTGGCCAAATAATTTCAAAAAAATAATTTTTTGGTGTTTTAAAAATTTTGAAATTTTTTCTAAAAATCTAAAAAATTATCCAAATGATTTTTTCAATATTATTATACATTTTATCATCAATATAAAATATTTTCTCATTTATTTTAGGTTAATTTGAATCAAAGGTAAATTAAATCTTCAAACTTATAACACTAGACGAATTATTCCATTGGGCTATCCCAAATAACGTTCCAGAGGTGTCTCAAGTCGACCCAACGGACATATGCTCCACAGTCTATGACAAATATACATAATTGGTAACATCAATGTCAATGGGAACTTCCTGTCACTGATGGATTACTGGTGCACTCTTGTAGAATATGTTACTGCTCAAATACATGAGTCCTCCCAAAGCACATGTGCACTAACTCTTCTAAGTTAGATAATACTATAGAATAATGACTTCTCCATACAACTGTGGGTACACATGGCATGGAACAGTCTCGTGTCAGGATACGGGTTCATGTCTCATGAGCTGACCATTCTATATAGGGCGAATATTCCTTTAAATACTCGGATTTTATAATTCTCGATTAGCTTGTTCAAGCCCTGGTTTATCATATCAACTATGAGTCATTCTAATCAATATAGTTCTGGCTAAGAAGTAACCCTCACACATCCCGAAGAGTTCACACTCTCAAGACGCCTACTCTCAATGCCTCAAATACATCGTGCACCCAGATTCGGTATCTCTCTCTAGCTCCCATTGAGCGAAAGGTTATTGGCTTTAAGGACTTGAAAGGCCACATAGCCAACATGGTAGCGCAGTTATAACGAGTTTGCTAATCGTGATGGAGATTACTGGATTTGGTAATAGGCAAAATCACCAATACCGATATTTTCTTCAAAAGATTGAAGGTATTGTGGTAAAAATAAAATGAGCTTTATTTAGGAGTAATAAAGAAGCCCAAGGGATCTCCATAAAAGGAGGTGAAAGAAAACATAATATTCATCTTTTAAGGGTCACCCTATTTAAGGTTTATAAGAAGGGATATCCAATAAGGAAATTGGTCTCCAAGAGATAGAAACATGATCTCATAAAGAGAGGCGGTTTTCCTATAGGTGTTGTGGGTTAGTTACACTTCCACTTATAGAGAAAGAAAATCTTCGTTGCTCTCAAGATTCGAGTTTTTGGTAGAGATGTAGCTGTAGGAAAGATGAAGGTAATTGACAATGTTGTTTGGACAAGAAAACAAGTTTAGAATGAAAGATTGGTGAGGATTTTTATAAATATTTAGAGAGATGTAAATATCTTATAACCTAAAATTATAATTTTCATTGTAATAGGGGATTTCTACTTGGCGAGACAGTGCACATAGCTCTACAGGATAAAACACGTAAATCGTGCATCATTGTGGTGTCGTTTTGGTTTTGCTTTATTTATTACACTTGATTTATGTTTATAGTTATCTATTTCACATTTAGCCAACTATATACATGATGTTTTGTAAGATCCCGGTATTCGGGATTCCTAGTTCTAGAGTGAAGACTTATCGAGGACTCTACAATTATATATTTTCATCAAAGTAAATCTTTCCTTTAATCCCATGCGCCTCTTTTTTTTTTTTAACACGTTTGATAGTTGGGTTTAACTAAAGCATTATTACTTGCACAATTTGTGTTTGGGACGACCCCTATGTGGATCGAGAAAACCATATGGAAACCAGAAATCCTTTGGGACAACTACCCAAAGCCCTAAAGAACACAAAGGTCACCTGATGGTGTCTGGGAGTCAACCTCAAGGGTAAGACAATAGATGAAGTAAGCAGTCCCGAATCAAGAATTATCTAGAAAAGTTGACTGCATTACAAATGCCGGCAGAGTCCCAATGGGGTCAATTTTGAATTACAATTATTGAGAGGGGATATCTTTTTCCCTTTCAATTTTGATTTATTCAGCTCAGTTCTCTATTTTTTTGAAAAAAATGGGTTGAATCTCGCTTTACCATTTTTTTCTTTTAAAATACAGTTGTCCTGTTCGATCGACCGTTCTCATTTTCTAAAGGCAAAATTTCATAGAACCCGTCGGGCAAAAAAAATAAAATAAACAACCACCACAAAAAAGAAGGTATGCATTTTCTTTTGTTAAAACATTCTATATCTAAAACAAAAGCTGTCCGGCATTGGATTTTCATTCAGCGTACATTTGGTTCGTGTGAGATTACTTCTTGGGAAGGATTTTCGCGTAGAGAGTAATTTTATGCTAACCGGTCAAAGACCAATTACTATGAAAATACTCCCATACCTGGTCACATGACAAAGTTTTGGAGTTCCTGGCCGAATTTAAGTTTATTTTTTAAGATAGTCAAACACTCCATTTGTAGGATCCATTTTTGTTTTAGATGCAGTTTGTATACGGCCATAGTCTTATGAAAAAAAGTAAGGTTTCACCTCAAAACCTCTTCCAAAAAACACTTAGGGTATAAAAAATCTCTATGTCGGCTCTAAAATCTATTTTACTGCCACTCATAAAATTTGTAGTTAAAAAAAATAGTACAGATCTGTGAACACTTAAACGTGGATAGTCCAGATAATGTGCAACAATATACATTATGTTTAGGGTTTAGAATCCTATATGTTTTGTGCAACTATAATGATCAATGTTGATATGGATTGATTTGAAAGTTTCCGATGCCGAAATTATAATTTACAGTAGGTTTTGAGGTGATCATTTATTCTTTCCCATGAAATCTAAGCCTTTATTTTAACATTTTCATGTCTCAACTGACACAAGGGAATACCTCATTTGACACAATATTTTAATAATAATAATAAAAGAAAAAGCTTGAAAGTCGATTGGGGGCATATGGTAAAGAAAACAATATTGTAGAAATAATCTATTATTAGTATTTTTGGATCGAAAAGTGTTTAAGTGTATTTCAAAACAACCACTTTGATTTTATTGTTTTTTTCTAAAATGCCTTGTAGAGAAAAAGAGGAAGATGTGGGTTTGAAGGGAGAGAGTTTGTTGAGGTGTATTTAATAGCAAACATTCGATATCTTTGAACCTTTCAAATTCGGATTCAACCAAAGGAGAAAAAGCGTGGTAAGCAACTCCAATAATAAAATAAGATGGTAGGGCTGTAATCATATTAAAATAAATAAAGTCTCACCTCATCGCTCATTAAAAATTGTAATTTAAGTGTTGAAAAATCTTGAAATGGAGCATCTCAACTTAAACATTAAAATTGTTTTACAAAATTAGGATTTCAAGTTTTTAAAATAATGTATATTACAAAATAATGTATCTTAAAAAATCCGCCAAATTTTATCGCCGGTGTTTGAGTGCCCAAAGTGCTTGCTTTCCGGATGCGGATTTTAGTTGCAGGGCCTAACTTGATCCATGATAGAATTATTGAATCTTGACCACAGGTCAGGTTTGACGTGGCGACGAGCGCTGCACCACACACACACCACCACCTCCTGTGGATCATGTCGATGTCGACAATGGATTTAAAGACAAAAACGGTAAACAGTAAGCACTAGTATTAGCTACCACTGCCTATACGCCAAGCATTGCATTGCCCATTTGGCGCGCGCCCGAAGGAAAATGAGGAGGGGCGGAGCTCTCTCTTTCTCCGTTTTGTATATGACATGCCAACCTTTACCCTCTTCTCTCTCTCCTCTCCTTCTTCTTCCACTTCCATCACAGTAGCAGCAGCACCAAGGAACAAGAAGCCCCACCACCCCTCAAAGGTACCTCATTCTTTTATTTTTTTTCACCATGTTGTGCCTAATTTTGTTACTGTAATTTGGCAGCTTGCAAATAGTTGGGGAGGGTTCTTGAATGATGCACTACTTTGGGTTTACCGCACAGTTTTGTTGACTTTTTTTTTGTTGGGTAGGTTGATTTAGTGTAGTTCATCTCATTTTAAGTGAAGATTCTGCAGCCTCTGGTGTCTCATATTACTGGAGTTCTCAGTAGCCCCTGCTTGTTGCACTATCTTTTGTATTTCCTTGTGAATGTTAATTTGAGACCTTGGTAGGAAAAGAACTCTAGGTGGCGTGTCCTAGCACCCGCCACTCTAAACGCGTTGGCCTAGAGGCCCTTCCTTTGTTGTCATATCTTTTGTTGATTCTGAGTTGCCATTGCTTGTTTGGAAATTGAGATTTTTCGGAACAGAAATGTCATTCAATGATGCTGAATTATCATTTTTGGAAATGCGAACTAGTCTGAGTTACTCCATGGATTTATCAAGAGAATTAGAAGTTTTTCTCTGCTCTGATGTCCTTGTTAGATAGAGAAGCACATGTTTCCCTAATGTTTCGTTTGTTTTTACAAATGTATAATGTGTCAAAATGTTAAGGTACTCCTTATACTGTCATTTATTTTATCCTTGGCTTCATGATATGAATTTGATAATTTATGGATAAACGATAGGGTTTAGCACTTTTGACTTTATGCCTGTAAACTAGTGAAATTACCATGCATATTCTAAGGAGAAATCCCGTGGGAAATCCTGGTAATATTAAGTTTTTATTTGTCCTGTGCTTCAGAAGAGATATTTAGTAAACTTACTGATGAAGCTCTGGATTTTCAGGATTCTGAACAGAGAGCCCCAAGGATAACATCAAATGTGAAACAAAACCTGCAGTTTTTAAGGATTTGGAAGGTAAATTATTAGTGGTTCTCTATATTGCATCTGGGCTTAGTTCATTCGTTGCTGTTTTTTTTTTTTGGCATTTTCAATGCTTCGTTACCTTTGGTTTGGTAAATGTCCAATAGGAATTTCAGCGACAAAAGTCAAATACACCGAAACCTGCAACCAGTTATCGCAAAAAGAAAGTACAGAAAGAGGAGCTTCCGGATGACAAGGAGCTTTATCAAGACCCCACTACGGCACTATACTAGTAAGTTGTGTTTATCTTGAGTTACCTATAGCGAAGGATTTCTGATTCTTACCCTTTGGAGTCACTACCAAACAACATTAATACATCCTGGTGTTGGTTCTATTGTGCAGTACGAACCAGGGATTGGATACGGCTGTTCCCGTTCTGCTTGTTGATGGTTACAATGTATGTGGGTACTGGGCAAAGCTGAAGAAGCACTTTGCAGGAGGAAGACTTGATATCGCCCGCCAAAAGCTCATTGATGAATTAATAACATTCAGTTTGATGAAAGGTTATTTCTTACTCAACTGAAAAAAAGGCTCTATTCGTTCATGGTGTTACCCTTTTGGAGTTTGTCAATCAAAGCTGCAGTGCACTTGTGGTTCTTATCACAGCACTTCTTATTTCATTTCATCTTATCAATGAATCATCAATATAATCTATGACTTCCATGTAATTGTACACAAACTATTGACTGCTGCTTTTTGACCATCTCGTTCTCTCTTTCGTTGACAGTTCAAGCTTTCAAAAATCGCTTGCTTTTCTTAGTTCCCATAAAAGGTTGGTGCTTGTTCAAGTTTGGGACTCCAAAACCAGTTTACTGTAAAAAGTATATGAACTATCTCTGCATCCATGAATGATTGTCTGTCTTTCCACGTATCTAGCTATCAGCCTAACCTTTCTCTTTAAGTATTGGGGAATATGAAGTTATGAACCTGGATTCTGGATATAGAGAACAAAACCTAATGGTGTCTGAGGTCGTTAGAGAATTGAATTGACATGTCATCATCATCGTCAAAGCCTTTTCCCATCTAATTAGAGAGAATATTGCCTATCAAATTAGAGAGAAGGATAACTTGATGTATTGCTTTCATGGAATAGGCTTGTGCTTTTCCTTGGAAAAAAGTCTGCTCATCGAAACTTATAAAGAGACACATGTAGTCTCCAGTGTATGCTCTTGTCTCTGGTGTATGACTGCATGTGTCTTGTACAGCCAACCGAAATGTAAGTCATGAGCTAGATTTAGAATTTTTGCAGTATCAGTCGAAAATATATTTAGACGTGATATTTTCAATTTGTCCCTCTTCATTTTGTTGAGGGTGGGGCTTTCTTACAGTGTTTCTGCATAGATCATGAATCTTATTTATAGTGAGTTTTGATCAATAATATTGTTCTTTACCTGTAGCCTCTGTGTAGTGGCCTTATGCTATATTTGTGGTAAAAATCTTTTTATAGAGGTAAAAGTGGTGGTGGTCTTTGATGCCATGATGTCAAGCTTGCCGACCCACAAGGAAAACTTTGCAGGGTAAGATCATGGATATCTTATTGGATTTCTAGTTTCCTCTTCAACTTATAATAACAAATTATGTTTCACGTCAATCTTGATTAATTTGATTTTTCTTGTTGCTAACTATTCATAGTTCAATTTTGGCTAATATTTCTTAGTTCATCCAAGTGATTCATGGGACCTTTGGGAACCTTTTTATTTTTAATGATTAAAAAGACAACAAATAATGATTGACCTCTTTGTTTTAGTTTGAGGTGGTTTGTTGGAGATTGTTCCACGATTGTGTGTATGGAGCATCCTGTTCATAACATAAACAATTGGATGGACATGATCGATTCAGGTCCACTGCTCCCACTTCGGTGGGTATTCTACTTTATCTCGTCCATCTGATCTCTGATCAGATGTAAGGAGCCGCGGCTCACCTGATCGTTTCCCTATGTATGTCTGCTTGAGGGTTATTATTGTCATATGTATTGTCCCATAATGGGCTGCTATTTTTGTATTACCATGACATGGTAGAACTTATATTTGTATTTTGCACACTTCAAGTTCTTGTCCTTACTATCCCCGATGAAAGTTCATCTCTCATGCTCTTGTCTGATTTCTTCTCTTTGAATATATCCTTTTTGTTTTAGTTTAAGTAGCTATTTCTCTTTTTCTCTTCCAAAATTAGCAATATTCGTTGCACTTCTACCTTGTTTTGGATGAATAATTAATGTAACATGAATGAAGTGTTAGAGCCATAGATATGTCGTCATTCGTTTAATGTTCTTGTGGATAAATTTGCATCATATCGGGCTTGCCAGTGCTATCTTCCTATATATGTTCATCTTAGGACTTGCTTCACTATAATATGTAAGGGAAAGTACAGAATGAGACCATTTACCTTTAACACAAGGTGGTCACAATAATCTTGACCATTGAATGTGAAATTGGGTGGCTGCAATTATTCCATTGACCAAGCTCAAACTTCAAAGGAAATTTTCTCGAACTTTGTACGACATCCAAGCTATCAAATTTCACCTCAAATGGTTGTAAGGAATTGTGACCACCTTGTATTAAAGGTAAATGGTCTCATTGTATACAATCCCTATATGTAATCATTAGATTTATTTTATCAATAATACTTTCATGCTTAGTCTTATATCCTTTTTATTCCAGGATTGATGTGATTTTTACAGGTGATAGTTGTGCTGATGCATGGATTGAGAAAGAGGTAACCTAATGCTGATTTGTTGGATGATCCATGAGTCTCTCTGTTTTATGGCTTATTCGAATATCATATTATATGCTGATGACATACTATTTGACATATATCTAATCCCATTGCATTGGTCTTAATCATGAAAGTAGGCCAAATATCTTGTGGTTAGTAATGCTCACATCAATTTTAAGAATCTAAAGCAGTAATTGGTGTTCTCTTTATTGCAATAACCTTGCATTTTGGATTCATCCAATGAGATGAGTTATGAGCTATCTGCAAACTAATCTGAAAAGCATGGACTCAGCATAGGGTTTGGCCAAAGACCAGTCCCAAGCCAAGTTGATAGGGCAAGACTCCACGGGGTATCTTAAGTCCAGACAATGTCTTTTGGAAAACAAATAATACTGAACATTATGACTTCTGCTATCACTATTCATCTGGGGTGCGTAACTGTTCTTATGAGGATGTTGGTTGCTCTCAACACTTTCATGCATCACTATTGGTGAAATGCAATTTATATGTTGTGTCCTTCAACCATGTCCTCAGGGAGGCCAAGGAGAGCAGTAACTCATTGAGAGGAGAAAGGGAGATTCGTGTTGAGAGTCATCACTGACTCTCGCACATGCCGGAGAGGCCAGGCCAGCTGGAGTGGCAAAAGCCGCGCAAAAAGATTGGACGATGTTGGTCATCAGGATCAACTTGGAAAAATGGATTTTTTTGGGTATTTTGTTTTTTGTAAGATAAAATAAAAGTCCTAATTAAGATAGGCATGTAGTCGGTTAGGATAAAGCTTTGAGTCTCACAAGGTAAGTTTTAAGTCGATGGTCTACCAAGGTGATTAGGCTTTGTTAAAGTGGTAAAAGAAGACATATATGGTTGATGTTAATCTTGGGAAAAATGGTAAGGTTTAGGTATATGCTATTTATCCATTATGGTTACCAAGGTTTTAAAAATCGCTGATTCGGATCGGTTATCAGTAGGACCAATCTGGTTCTTGACAGATATCGGGAACCAGCCGTTCCCCCCCCCCTCGAATCGACTAGAGAGAACCGCCAGTCATGTCAGTGGTCCGGCTCGGTTCGGTTAATGAATCGGCTTGCCAGCCCAACATTTTTTAATACTTATTTTGGTAAAAGACGGGCTGGCATGCTGCTCCTCACCCCCTTTTATTGATGGCAGCATCCTGTGACCCTTTGCCATTGAGCGATGTGGGATTAATGTGTGTGTGTGTGTGTGTGTGTGTGTGAGAGAGAGAGAGAGAGAGAGAGAGAGAAAATTGGGTGAAAAAAATGTCGAGAGATTTGGTAATGCGGAAAAGAGGAATAGGTAATGTTAGAAAAAGGGAAAAATAAGTTTGACTATTAAGAACTTTTGATTTTTAAATGGGATTAAAATCAAACTTCATATGAAATCATTTAAAAACTATTTAAAATGAAATTTCTTACAGAAGCAAACTATTTGCATCCCTTTAATGTTTTTGATACCCTTTATTTTTGAAAAATATGAGGAAGCTTCTTACAAAATCAGTTTTAATTAAATTTCATGGGATTATATTTTTCATATATTTGAAAAAATTTGAATTGATTCAGATGGCACGAGAAATAATTTCAATGTCGAATTGGGTTTTTATTGACACATATTTTTTTATCCATTTAGATAATTGAGATAGAGAAGATGAATTGTTAACTGTGGAGTGAATTTAATGGACAACAAGCACTATGACATGACATAGGTTCTCAATATTTATATATTTTCATAAAATAATAAAAAAATTATGTAATATCATTAGTTTTTTGAAAAACTTAGAAACACTGAAATTTTTAAGAAATTCTAGTGTTTTTTTGAAAATTGTTTAATGCCAGATGTTGCTGATTCAGCCTATTCTCCGATCCGGGTCGTCGATCCACCGATCCATCGATCCGACACAATTTTTGGGGTGGCTGATCCAGGTCACTGATCCATCTTTTTAAAACTTGATAGTTACATGTAAGAAGGCAATTGACGTGTGTTAACATGAAGGAGTAATGTGAAAGTCCTTGGTAGAAGTCGTTAGCATGAGAGGTATTGGAGGCATTAGCTTGGGTCTTTTTGGTGAGAGCTTTAGCAGCATGAGTCCTAGGTGACCATAGGCATGAGGTATTAGTGAAGGGTAAACATGAAGCTAAGAGAGAGAACAAGATAGAGAAGGAGAGAGAAGCATTGTAGAGAGAGTCGAAAGCTTTTTTTAATTTTGTATTATTTTTATTAACGTATTGAAGTTTTCTCTCTCTAGATTTGGTGTGTGCATCATAGTTGCTGGAACCTTGCAGGAAACGCCACGGACCCGCTCCGAAACCTCGATTCCGCAGTTCCAGCTAGGAATCTTGGATGGAACGCAGTTCCCTATACTGTGATCCTCATTCCCAGCAGGTTCGAACTGCGGTTGTCAAATGTACGACACAATGGATATATTTTTTCTCTATTTGGCACTGATTCATATGTAATGATTCAGTTTTGTGCCCAATGGTACTGTGAACCCACACATCATTCCTGATCTCTTAAAACATACTATTGTGATTCCTTCCCCATGGAATCGCGCTTCCCTGTGACAAGGATCTCGCTCCCTTGATATAGGATCGTACTGTCGACGATCCCAACCACAAGGAGCTTCCAACAATCCACGGTTCCACGAACTCGAGCCCGCTCCTGCTTCCGGGAGCACACCCACAACTGACAACTATGGTGCGCATGTGTGCATGATCTCAGATGCGTCGTGATTTTATTTTTGTGTTTCTGATTGTGCACGGGGTGCTCGTTGTGAGCGTGAATTTTCTGCTAGCTACTCAACAGTTAAGAGTGAGTTGATATTTAAATGATGTACTATATGCATATGTTTCATATTTCTTGGTATCACTGTATAAGAGCTAAGCTGTTTGTCATGATCTAATTTTCTCCTTCATCTTAGGGTGTTTATCACAATTAAAATGTTCTTATTTACATTGAATGAAATGTCTCATAGCTTCCCAAATAGAAGTTTCCAAATAGAGAGGAAATTGTTGCTGAAACACTAGCCAAAGTTACTTTGTGTAATGAGGTATTTGATGATGAAACGAACAATTACCTAAGCGAGAAGGAACTTGCTAATTGAAGAGATGTGGATACAAACCCTTTTCCAGATGTTGTTATGGTGTTCTAGGCAACCTTTAAAAGATTGATATAGGGAAGAGGGGAAAGAAAATAAACAAACCAGAAAAACAAAATAGAAATTAAGGGTGAGAGAATATACCCTCTTTCAAGGTGTGTAAGGGAGTTGACCCCAACATCACAAGACTTGAAACAAAATTTTCTTCGATTCTCCTTTTTGGTGTCCAACACTTACGTATTTATAGAAGAAAACCCTAAAACCCTACTTGTTCCCTAAGAAACTAAAATCAATATTAAATCCTAACTCTTAATCGTTTAAAAGTTAAAATTTCAATTCTACTCCTTGAGTTTTTAAATAGGGAAAATTGTCCATGTTTATATAAGTCAACTTTGAAAACCTAATTTAGATAAGTCAATTTTAAATAAATGTCCATATTTATATAAATCAATTTTGAAAATGCCATCGTTTTTTCTAAACAAAAAATAGTTTAGAATAAGAAAAAAAAAATTATTTTTATTTTGAATTTATAATCAATTTAATAGCTTTTAGCTTTTTTTGATGTTATGATGCAACCTTGGATTGGACCAGAGGATTGACGAATAAAATTCTGTTTCACAAAATAACAATTATTTATTTACTATTTTAATTTAATCCTTTTTGTGATGCCTACCATTGTTATAACATATAAATTGTAGTGCATTTACACCCATATATTGTACACAGGTATCATGTCTAGATGACATTTTTTTGGGGTTCACATTTCGGCATTCGCAACTGTGTCATAAAGAGACAAACTTGTCCCTTTCTATGTAATATAGGCCCCTGGAGTCAATCTTGGAGCTTGGTTCATCCTTGGGTGAGTTTTGATGTCAGATAAGTGTTGCAACCACTTATTTATTTCTTTGGTCTCGTCAAAGTTCATCGATCTATTATTAAAGCTCGCTGATCTGGGTTCAAATATCCTCCATAGCTTGATTTGTGTTTTCTTGAATTTGTTAATTCACAACCTCCATAATTTGTGACAATTTATCATCGATCAAAAGAGCGGGCTTTGGCGGCCTTGTGATGGATGGATCTTATGAAGCTCTAATACAAACTAATGTAGGGAAGAGCGGAAAGGAAATAAAATAAAGAGTGAGAGAATACACCCTATCTTAAGGTGTGCAAGGGAGTTCACCCAAAAAAGATCTTTTCACAAGATCCAAAACTTACATATGTATAGAAGAAAACCCTAAAACCTAACTTACTCCTTAATAAACCCTAATCAATATTAAATCCTAACCCTTCATCTTTTAAAAATCAAACATTTAAAGGTCTACTCCTCAATTGTTTGTTACAAATGAAAGACAACCACCGATGTTGATATAGATATATTCATTTTAATGCAACCCTCTGATGATGAACAGCCCCTCAAACTCAATATTTGTATTCTCGACATTCTTTAAGTAGCTAGTAGGCCAGAATATTCTACAACCCTGTGATAATGAACAGCTCCCCCTAGCATGAGAAAATTTCACTAACTCCCACCTTAAACCAATGACACATGATTCATGTAACGGGAGTCCTTGATTTCTCATAAAATCTAAAGTTCATCCAGTAGGAGTGAGTCACCAGAGTGTTTAAAATGTGCAGAAAATCAATGGGGCAGCTAAATTAATACTCTTATGAGGTTGAGGAACGTGTCTAACTCAAGAACTATAGTTGCTTCTATACTTAATTATCACAAGCACCACTTCTCAAATAGGGTATGGGGAGTTTCTGGCATAGAAACCTCATGGGAGGAATGACTATCAACACCCCTTATGCAAATGTGAAACTAAACCCAACTGAAATGAACTATAAACCAAGGTTATGTGAATGCTTGGACTGGATATTCTGGAATGTGAATACCTTTGTCAAATCCTGGAGAGTCCTTCAAACTTGTAGTTGTGCGCAGATTTTGAGTTTCTTTGTCATTGCTGGTGATTGCATCACAATGCTTGAAGATTCCATATAGTTGGTCTTTGGAACAAGTGTAAGGATGCATACATTATGTGGATATGTATATCATGTCCTTGAGGTTATCTTTTCTTGTGGGTGATAGTAGGAGGAGGAAACTCTTTTTTATTCCCTAAAAGGCCCAATTTATGCGCACACTTGATTTGTTTGAAACTATTGAGCAACAGGTGTGGATTTCAAAATTTTCAGAAACTATGCTTTTAAGAACTTCTAAGATTTTAAGGATTTCTATCCCCAAATAAAACTTCTGCACAGCATAAGACGCCTAAAATAGAATGGTGATTGATTGGAGCTTGCATTTGAAGGGATTCTATCTTACAGTAGCTGGGATTCGGTTGTGTAAATAATGGTTTTGAATTCCAGAGCATATTATGGGGATTTAGGATGCTTAATGGGAAGAAGGCTTGCATATTCCCATGTATTTTTGGAATTCACTATGGTGGTGTCATTGTTCATGTCCAGAGTAAAGATTGGTAGATGGGTCTACCTGACTTGTGTGATGGTGTACTGGTGCTCTTTGATGGTTAGGAAAACCTCATTTTTTAAGATTCACTTGATAGGTTGGGTTCCAACCTTGATGTGTATGGTGTTATGAGAAAACTCTTGAAGTCCTGAACCTCATAAGGGGATATCTTGGCTAGTTTACGCTGACATACAGGTTTAATTGAGAAAAATAAGCCTTTTGAAAAACTGAAGGTTTGAAAAAGACACATTTTGACCATATTAGCCTATCAAATCGGGATTTGCACTCATATTCGTCATCATCATTACCATTTGAGTGTTATCCAAACTATTTGGGGTTGGCTGCATGAGTTGTGTTCTGCCTTTTGTGCTTTATCAAGAGTCATAGCCTCAGTTAGATCTTTAGAATTCATGAAAAGACGTGGCAATGTTTACTCTGGCTAACTTATCTATCGCAACCCTCCAGTATCTAGGCTTGGGACTGGCAAGACCGGCTTGGGACTGGCCATGGCAAAGTTGGGATTTGCACTCACATTATTGGATATAAATATATCCATTTATAGTGCAAGCTCGTTGACAATAGGTATACATTAGGGGGTCAACGTTGAGCCTATACCTCTTTTATCTTAGTTATGGACGATTTAACTAGGCACCTACAATTGAGGTAACATGGTATATGTTTTTTGTGGACAACATAGGTTTGATTGATGAGACCCATATCGACGTTAACACAAAGTTAAAACTTTGGAGGGATGCTCTAGAATCTAAATATTTTAAAATTAGCCGAACTAAGACAAAGAGAAATACCAAAAAGAGCGCACTTTCGATATCTTGGATTGATAATCCAGAAAAATGGAGAGATTGAGGAAGATGTGAGCTGAGTGGGCAAAGTGAGTTGTACAACCAAAGTTTTATATGACCTCGCATACCAATGAAGCTGGAGGGCAAGTTCTATAAGACAACTATGAGACTAACTTTGCTTTATGGGGCAGAATGTTGGGCGGCCAAGAAATAACATACCTATAGGATGAGTGTAGCTAAATTGCGGATGTTGAGATGGATGAGTGGCAAGACAAAAATGGATAGAATTAGAAATAAATATATTTTGAAGAATTTAGGTGTAGCTCCAATAGGCGATAAGATAGGAGAAAGTAGACTTAGGTGGGTTGGCTATATGCAGCGGAGACCCATTACAACACTTGGTAGGAGGTGCGAGTTAGTTCAAGTGAAAGGCTCAAAAAGGACAAGGGGTAGGCCCAAAATGACATAGTTGGGAGTGGTGAGAAAAGATATGGGGACTTACGGCCTCATTGAGGGTATGACCCTTGATACAACAGAATGACAGACTAGGATTTATGTAGCCAACCCAAATAGTTGGGAAAAGGCTCTGATGATGATGATGATTTATAATGCAAGCTTGTTGATTGAGGTTCACAACAAGTTTGTCTTAGTATAAATATCATACTTTGCAGAGCAACCTACATTTTTAAGGTGATTATACATTTGTGAGTTGCACATATCACATCAAACGCATATGTAGATAAAGGACAGATTCTCAGATCATATGTTGGTCCCCCTTCCCACCTCTGAAATATTGAATGTTACAGGACTGTAGACATAAAAGTGTAAATTATTTTCCTCATAACGTGGCTTGTACATCTCTTTAATTGGAATTTCTGCTATTAAATCATAATCAATCATTTAAAAGATCCGCTTTTTGCTTACATGCATAATGCTGATGTCTTATAGTGCTTTCATGTCTTTCGGTGACCTAGTTTGCAGATACCTGGATTGCTTCATGCTCATATATTTATATTTTACAGGTAGTAGCTTTGAAGGAGGATGGCTGCCCCAAAGTTTGGGTTGTGACGTCGGATCACTGTCAACAGCATGCAGCATATGGAGCTGTATGTCCTCTCTAGGGCATGTTCGTCTGTTATAAACTTCTTCATAATGTCTTGCTTCCAAAACTTTTTATTTGTTAAAATTATCGAAATTGTGTATATGAAGATAATTGTTATTATATTCTCTCAGAAGTAAAAAAGATAATTATTATCAAATGGATTTTATACATGTTATGGAATTCCCACTAAGTTGTTTGTGCATAGTGGAGTTCTGCTTTGTGCTAGATTTTCCTTAATCTTCAAATGCAAGTAATGGTCTAGTTTTTGGGTCAATGATTTGTCATCTTGCTCTGTTGATGGTTGCACTGCCATGATAGTGCTTGATCAGGGAGGCTTCTGTCATCAGATCATAATCTTCCTTTTGTTCTATGATCTAGAGGGTCCCATTTGTTGGTGGAGTTAAATGATCATTCGATACCCTTGCTCTTGCTATTGTAGAGTAACTTATCTTGTGGCATGGCTTGAACCCACCCACAAATCACAGGTGCTTGCACCTTGTTCATCATATTCAGAATTCTGTTCATAAGGGTGATTGAGATTGAAATTGAAATTCCCAGACACTGATATTTTCTTGTCAATGTGTCCCTTCTTTCTGACCCAAATCCCTTTGCCTTTTGCCACGTGACTTCTGGATGTCCAGTCATCTGTCGGCTCAGCTCTTCTCCAAGCAGTGATTCTCTTCTGCATTCTAGCTTTCTTTCTCCTAAGGTCCTTTGCTGATTTTCCTCCTCCCTCGATTTGAACGACTTCCAATTACTGTTCAGCCTCCATCCATCTCCATCATTCATTTATAAAAAATATCTCTCCTATAGGATGCACCACAGTGAACGCATTACTGAGTCTCCGCAGAGGCCTCCATCAGGGCTTGATCTTCTTCTGAAATGGACAACCAGAATCCCATGTTGTTTGCAATTATAGTTCCTTCTTTTGGAATGGCAGTATTGTCTTTAAGATCCACTTGAAACATCCCTGTATCTAGGTTCTCACCTGCAGTTGTTTTTCAATCTATCTTCGCCATATTCCCACATGCCTTTGCCAGTTTGCACAGACCTCATAGGTCCACACATTAAAGGGGCCTGCAGAGATCTTAAGCCCACTCTTTTCAGAGGAACAAAGGAAGCACAGCTTTTGGCACACCATCGAGACAATAAGAGCCAAGAACCCCAAATCTTCATCGCCCCCACCTCAGAGTTCTAGAGGCTTCCATTTCTGAACTCAGATAATCAACAACTCCTTGTTTGCTGGCTCTGCACATAACAGGCGCTGAAGTTCTCCAGACCCTAAATGTTCACATAATTCGCCTACTTCAGTTGCTCTAAGGAGTTCACTGGTCTTTTAGGTCATTTCATTGCTTACTCTAATGGTAATGGACACTTATCTCACCTCAGTAGTGCAACCTTCGTGTTCTCGAGGCCAAAGTAGTTTCCTTGGAGTTCTTGAGACTGAGAGATTGGACAGATTCGTAATGGTATTTTCTGTATTCAGGTGGAGGTGGGTGGAAATGTTGATCTTCAGATAGTGATGGGGGAAAGTAATGATGTTGCTGTTGGGGTTTGCCTTTAAAACCCATGAGAGCATGTAAATATAGTAAAAATTAGGCGGTCTATGGCCTGGGTCATGTCCAAAACCCTTTTCCCTTGGGCATAGGCATTACTGTTGAGGGTTTCCTATAGGGTCATTCCTTGTTAAAGTCGGCGATATACCCAACGGTGGTTTGTAGGCCATGAGAGCTTCATGGTCTCCTGTATACAGTTGCAGGTTTGTAAAAAGGACGGCCAAACCCCAGCGCATGACTGTTGGATTGGTTTGAGAAGGCAGTTGTGGATCTTGGTTCTAGCATGGGTGGAGTCCCATGACAGTCACTTTCTTGACCCATTGGTACCAATCCACTTCTAGATGTATATTTGAATGTTTTAAATTTTTTTAAGAACTTTAGAAATATTATTATCAAATTCGTTTATGTTCCTATGATTTTTGGATATTTTTATAGATTATTTTAAAAAAAAAAAAACCTAAAGGGTATTTTTGTAATTTTCTGAAAATTGAAAGTGGTTTTATGGAATGGGACCCATATGGGAGGAAGGGGGGGGGGGGGGTGGCACGCCAAGGGCCCAACCCCCACAGACATGAGGGACCCATGTGGGTGTGGGATGTGGGGCCCAAAAGGCCTCACATCCTACTTATCCCAGTAAGTTGGGAGATATGTTGGGGAATCCTTTCGGATTTGGAAAATATTTTATTGTTTGAGAAAATATTGCAAAAATCTTTGGAAGAGGTCATGTTAAAATATTTTGTGTTTTAGTAAATATTCTTATAACTTTGAAAATGGACCTAGAGTCTTTGACTTTGAATTACTACAATATCTTTGTGAGAGAAAAAATTCTGGCCAAAATAGAAGATGATATTTGATTGGTCTGATCCTAGATGGACTCGAAGTGGAAATGGATCAAAGATTCAGGGATAAGGTTCCTATATTCCTTCCTAAATCATGATGATTGATTTCGGGGATGGATGGCTTTGATTTGTTTCTTTCTCACCTCATAGATTATCAGGAAATCTTTTGGTCAAAACTAAATCCTAATCTAGGTGGAATACCCTAGGGCCATTACGGCTTATATAAGAGTGGTCTTGCCCAATGCTCTTCACCTGTTTTCTTAGACCTCTCTCTCTCTACCCTTTTCTCTCTCGCTCTCCTCCACACCATATTCCTTCTCTCTTTCTCTCTCTCTTTCTAGGTGGCACCCCCCTCCTCCCCCTATAGAGACCTAGGGGTGGCACTCACTACCTAAGATATAGAGGGGGGGCACGCTCAGTCCCAATGTTGGTTGTGGGAGGTGCTACATAGTGGCATGCCCAAAGGTTGTAAAAGGGTCTAAAGAACCCTACTTGTAGTAGCCCATGCTCTCAACCGCATAGCTTTGTGATGGGCATTCTAGAGGTGCTTCCCAATTTTAGAGGATTCAACAGGGCCTAAGGATCAAGTGCGCCATTGGTTTCATAATCGGGTGTGGAGTGTGCTAAATCCTAAAGGGCTGACCTAGGCAAAGGTTTAGTAAGTCCTCCCAGTTTTATTGATTTTATTTTTCAGTTCTTGATTCATATTTGTGCAGAAGTCCAAATTCTATAAGGAATCCCATTTGGATTTAGATTCCCACTTGGACTATGACTCCCACTTAGAATAAGAATTCCTAATTGTATTTGAATTCCCCTTGAAAATAAAGAAGCTCCTGCACAAAAAAGATTCAAGCCTCATTTTGTACGCATCCTTCATTGCATTCTGTTAGACCTATGTTTTAATATTTGATGGAGTTGTCCTTTTATCTAATGTCCATATGGGTGCACCATCGTTTACATGCTAGTGATGCTCTTACAATATCTATAGAATTACCTTCTGTCATAATGTTTACTATTTGGACATCGCTTGGTGAAATCTATATATTGACTTGTAGCTTCCTTCAGGGAGCTTTTGTGTGGAGTTGCAAGGCATTGATTTCAGAGGTGAGGCTTATTCCGTATCTCTTATTTTGTTGTACAGTGGCTTGATCTCCAAACTGGGAATTTGTTTTCCATTCAGCTTTATTCTTTCTCTGGATTGAAGTTTTTGGAATTTATTCTTGTTTTTAAGGTTGCAATACTATGTAGGAGTCATATACGTCATGCTATATTTGGAACTATTCTGGTTTAATGCATATGATTATGATGGTTGCCCGGAATCTAAAATGCTGGTGTTCTTGGTCAATCAGATATATAACTGTTCAAGGTGAAGTTACCTTGGTTTTATTGGGAGGAAAATAGGGGCAGGTTAGTTGAAGTTGATGCTTAGATCATTGACAGCTTTGTCTCTCACTAGTGGAGATGCAAAGTGTGTAACTTAAGAAAAATTTTCAAATACAAACCAAAAGAAAAATTGCAAAGAAAGAGTTACTCTTTGAAGCAAATTATGCACACAAATCTGATCGTCCATGGTCTCACAACACTTCAATGTGTTCCATTCGTGTACATGCAATTCTAAAGATTTTGCATCTCAGGTCCTGTTGGTTGGCAACTTATTATACATCCATGCTGTTTCGAGTAATCTTTCTTGAGGAGATGGAAGGTAATAGCATGGAGTGAAGGGATGCTAGCTAATGGCAGATAAATATTGTTATGCTACTTCAAATATGTAAACCCAGTGTACAGCGGGGCTTAGCCAAAATAGAGTCTATAGACGAGGGTATGGGGGAAGTCTACGCATACTCATGGGGGGAATCTATTACTCGAATGCAGAATGAAGTTAGCAATTATGTGAAAACACCTTATTTTTTTCTAATTTTGTTTACATTTCCTATAGAGATTTTTCTCATCAAGGGGGTCTTGAATGCAGTAATGTGGGATAAACTATGTTTTCTTTTTTTGGTGGATTGGGATAAACTATGTTACAAGGACACCGATACGAGAATGTGTCTGACTTGGATATGAAGAATACGATTCACCTATGTATATTTTGCCGAGTCCAGCATGACACATCCATACAACACTTAAATGTCTATGTATATTTAAGGTAAAATAAATTGACCCATTGCTTCCATATGTGATGTATCCAGGGGGTGCATAAATGACCAATGTTGCTTAAGATGTTATTATATCTATTTGAGTAACAATAAGCTTATGGACAAATCTCTGCTTCCTATGAGCTGGATAGGCCCTGTATCTGGCTGTAGACTAGAATTGATTTCAGTAGGCCATTCGATGGGTCTAGTGGCATTCTTCCCGGTTTCTTTTGAGTGATCTAGGGTGCATTTCCTTTGCTGAATTTGACTACCTGTATTCGAAGGAAGTGACCTAGCAGTGTGCTTAGGTCTCATGTTTGGATAAGGGCAAACTGTTCTACTTAGGATAAGGGCAAACTGCTCTACTTAGGATAAGGGCAAATGGAGTTGTATAGGAATGCCCTTATCCCTAATAACTGGTGGTTTATATATAAGGTGGCTCAATATACTGTAGCTTCTGGGCTTCGCACCAAACACCCAGTATGTGTGTGTGTGTGTGTGTGTATATATATATATATATATATATATATATATATATATAGAGAGAGAGAGAGAGAGAGAGAGAGAGAGAGGAGGAGGGAGGGAGGAGGGAGGGGAGGGGGGAGGGGGAGGGGAGGGAGGGAGGGGGGAGGGGGAGGGGAGGGAGGTAGTTGTTTGTTTGTTTAGGTTTAGTTTAGTTAGTTTAGTTACGTACGTCTTACTTTCGTTT